AAAAACCATTATATACCCTAATTAATTAAACATTCAATAAACATCAACGTCAATATAACACCCAAAATGCTTCAAAAAAAAAACAAATCACATACATAGTAAATACAACCAACATAACTTGAAATTTGTAACATCTCAGGACGAGTCGTTTACCAATTTATCAGTTATTTCACTGTTTTTTGGTTAATCCATATTAAAAACAATTTTTAACCTCAAACTGAGCCAGGATGTGCACAAAAGAGTATATAGATATAGATTACACGTCAGTTACTAATATGGACACGTGTCACTCTATATTATAGCAATGTGGTCTAGGAAAAAGTGCGATATTCCTTCCGTACTGCTCCGTTAAATGTGGTCGGGCCAAAACAATGCGCCAAGATTGTGACCCAAAAATATGCGAAGGTAGTGTGACTCGGATTTGGATGTGTTCAAACCCATACATCCAATCTTATCCTTATTTTTCCTTACATGAAATAACAAACGCCTTAACAACAACTTATTATGATAAATTCAAACAAACACGCATGTCTATATATATGCTCCCCATTTAGAACTCTCTCTTTCTCAACCTGTTAGCTTCATTATTTTTTGCTTAGATAATTGAGACATAAAATATATTGAATTATGAATATTATTATGGGTGGAGAGAAAGAAAAATTTCTTGAAATGGGAATGAGCAAGAAAGGCGATGATGATGAATATTGTGAATCTATGGATCCATCGTCCTTCATTAATAATGATCATTATTCATCACCATTATTATCATTTTCTTGTTTATCATCATTATCATCATCTTCTTCGTCTGAATTGGCTGATGACGCATCATCTTCATCATCTTCTTGTGCTTCATCCAATGCTCCATCTTCGTGTGGGCCTCTCTACGAATTGTCGGAGCTCATGTCCCAACTTCCCATCAAGTGAGTATAAATTATACGTATTGCTTCAAATTTAGTACGTTTCAACCGAAATTCTAATTAAAGATATATTACAACCGTTAAATATCTTATACTTAGGAGTGAATACTAATCTGAAGAGGTTTATTTATGTATTCATGAATAATTTCTGCAACAATAAATTGGATTCATAAATCATAATCAAGAGTTTATGTATTTGTGTACTCAGTAAGTTCGGTGAAATTCTTTTAGTGGAAATAATGAACATATTACTATGAGAAATTTGGCATTTTAGGGAAAATAGTATATCGTTTTGTTAACAAAGTATATTTTTTCGGGTTAATATTGGCTTGCTTCACAAATTTTTGACTGACATTAGTTTTTGTGACATATTTTCTATGGTTTTTTTAATGTGAGGTTATTGATTGTATTGCAGGAGAGGTCTATCAAAGTTCTACCATGGGAAATCACAAACTTTTACATCTTTGGCAAATGTGGCAAGTGTTGAAGATCTTGGAAAGAAAGAATGCTACAGCAGAAGAATGAAATTGAGCAAGAATAAATATGGGTGTGAGGGGAATTTGAATCGGCAAAAAATTAGTCCAAAGGCTACAATTGCAAAAAGGCCAGTAAAGAGATCGTTAACATCATCTTGTGCTATTAGTAAACATGCCATGGTAAATAATTGGCCGTAGGTATAAACAACTAGATAATATTTTCGGCTTTTGTACAGAAAGAAAACGTTTATTGGAAACTAAAACACTTTTTTATTTTTCTGGAATAGCAAAGGAAAACGATGTTGAAAGCTGAAAGATAATGGTTTTCTTGGTGGTGCGTGAATGAATGAACATCGGTTCTAGTTCAGTAAGGGATAGATAGTCGGGATTTGGACACCGAGAACCGACAAACCGTGTTGAACTGAATCAAAATAAGCCGGTTCGGTCTGATTAATGATTACTGTGTTATATTCTTTCTGATTCGGTTTTTTACATTCATACTCGGCTTCAATTTACGGTTTTATTTCAAGCATGCATCCAACAAAGAACTGTTTAGAGGCTAAAAATGTTCACTTCGTGTCCAACTCAACCATTAGCAATGAACTACACTGGCCCAATTAGCCCATGTTTATGTCTCTAGAATCAACATATATAGAGAATGGATCATATGAGAATGAAACATAATGAAAGAAATAAGAATAATGCTGTACCATTGGATCCATCAAGTCAACGGTCATAATCAAGTCAAACTTTTATAAATGACAGTCAAACATGTTGTGGCAATTTCGCAAGTAAGTATACATATTGTGGTCAAATGGATACATTTGACACTCAGTAAGGGTAAAACGGTCATTACACATCTACTACACATGCACCAACTGGCGGTGGGCCCCACCCACTAATCGGCCCCACACACTTTCTTCTCTCTCTCTCTCTTTCTCTTTCTCTCCCTCTCTCTATCTCTCACTCACACACACACACACACAAATTCACACACTTCTTCTGCACACATATATTGCTCACACATACACAGGTCACTAGTATACAACCCGCCACCACGACCACCGCCGCAGCTTTAGCCACAGCTCGCCGTCACCATCAGACCTACCGGACCTGTAGCCGCCACCACATCCCAACGCCGACAGTAGCCCTGCTGGTCCCATCACAGCCGCCACCAGTATAAATGAACAATAATGATATGTAAAATGCACAATATAGCCCAAGGAAATGCACAATAAAAATAATTTATTATTTATAATTTTATATTATAAAAATATTTAATATTTTAATGTTTATTTGGTTGAAAGACAATATATAAAATATAGAAATCGATAATGTGCATTCCCATAGACACTAATGTGCAGTTCGTATAACATTATTGTGCAGTCTATTGAGCGGGCATTTTTTAAGTGCATTTTCAATTTTAGAAAACTTTAATAATGAGTACAATAACAGATAGTAGGGTCGCAGCATGAACATGAATCAACAACAAATATCACATCTCATAATGAACAATTGTAAATCCGTTGAAGGTCGAATCCACATCCAACAACGGGAGCACATGTCAATGGTCGAATCCGCATCCAAAGACATGGCCTGCCATTAGGCTAAGGGAGACTGTCTCGCACTAGGCACCGTCGACGGTCGAATCCGCATCCGCCGATAGGGATACCATATCGAAGGTCGAATCCGCATCCAACGATAGGATCGTGGTTCACATACATACATTGATCATAAAATCTAACTATTATAATGAATAATGGAATGGTAAGGTTTATCAATACCCACCTGTTGCGGGATCGACAAGTATGCAAATGCTCACGATAGGTTCAAGGGCTCGACTCCTCGGAAACCTAAAATTAAGCGAGATAATTCTTATCAAAAAAATTATCTCTTTACTCTTTCCTACGCCCTCACCGTTCACTTGAGCATCACATTTCATATTCTAACTTGAGCATCGAAGATCTACTGTCGAAAACATCTCGGCGTGTTGCATGTCCACGAAGATTATTTCAAAAAATGAAATTGGTTCGAAGTCATTCAGCTGCCGATGGAAGGAGTAATTGCACATCATCACGGCTTGAACCGCGGGTCAGTGCGTAGTAGGTAAGTACCAATTAACTTGAGCCAAGTTACAAATATAAAAGAGAAGGTGAGTGTGTTCAATATAAAAGAGAAGGTGGACCTATGATTGTTGCCTTGTCGGGTCTATTGCTACAGGTTAGTTACAACTTGCACGAATTCATTGGCGCTGATGACTTTTTTAATCAACATACAAAACAGTAATAAATGCGAAAAATTGAGGAAGATGCGGTCGATCATATCCAAATGTCAAGTCTTTGTCAAATCATTAAACGCACTGCCACAGCGACATAAGTAAAAAATCGCGATTCTCCGCAATCACCATATTGAAAAAAAAAAAACAAATAATAGAAGAGAGAGTGAAAGAGAACATGGAGAAGACGAAGCAGACGAGCAAAAGCGGCAAGCCTCACGGGTCGGAGGCGAGGAAGGATCGGAAATCGGGTTCGGGTATGATCGGATCTCCTAAGAAGGGCGGAAAAGGCGGGAAGTTCACGTGGGCCGGCGACGGCTACTCTGGGGCCGAGATGGGCTGGGCCCAGAAGGACGCCATTGATGCCAAGGACCCTAACTTCGAGGAACCTGAGGTCACCGTTAATGCTAATTGATCTCATACCACGCTTCAATTTCTGATTGCGTTTTTAGTTTCTCGGCGATTTCCAGATAGTGTAAATATATGCCATCCAGAGATTTGAATAAAGTTCAGTCATGATGTTCTCTGTATTTTCATGCTGTTTAATGGTTAAACCTCTTTATCCGAACTATTTTTCTTCATATTTGGGCATTTGTTGCGATCGATTTTGAGAATGACATATAAATAATCATGAAATTTGAGATTTGGGGAATAGTGTAGTGATAAATAGGGTATGAAGGAACAACACTTTATGTTATCTACATTTCACATCTTCATAGTTAAATTGGTGAATTTGTGCTTTTTGTGTAGTTTTGGGGAAAATTGCAAAAACTTTGGTGGATGAAAATGCACCAAACAGCCCAGCTAAATCATTTTACTTCAATTTCAGAGGCAGAACTCAAAATCCACTTGTACATGATTTTGGGGAACCTGAGCTCATTGAAATATGTGAAATTTTTTGGAGAAACATTGAAACATTTTTTAAACAATAAATAAATATTAAATGAAAATACAATAATAAAAAATTGTGAATGGTTACAACTTATAATAGCAGTATTTCTTCAATAGTTGGATAATGAGCACTACCCCGATCCTATGCGTGGTAGTGATCCACAAAGGTTTTAATCGTTCTGTAAATTTTCAAGCTGTAAAACCAACATGTGAGAATGTCAACTGAAGCATCTAATGGAAAATTCATTCTAAAAAGTTACTGCAACTCAAATGCCATTATTTCAACCAATGTTTGAGCTTATTGAGAGCTAATACATTATTCTGCCCGAATTAGCCCTTCTTGCATTATTAGGCAAAGCTTGAAATAACCTCCTGAGTTCGATCAGGCCATACGAGACGCCATTCAGAAAAAAAAGCCTACAAGCTTTTTCCCTAAACAACTATTATTCGAAGAAAAAAAAAAAGCATAAAGAAAAACATAAGACGACACACAATGCTTGGATTTCATGTTAACTTTCCCCCGAGGCATAGTGAAGCTTGTGTAATGACCCTAGCAACTCGCCAAATTTCATGTTGTACTGAACTCCAAGACTCGGCTGTATTTAAGTCGAGTGCATTGCCAATTGCATCATCGACTCCTGGGAAGGCGCTGGAGCCATACTCGTCAGTCTTTGATGGTCCATAGATCTGAAAATGAAGCAAACTCGGGAATTAATTAACCTCAGAGGGCTGATTGTGAAAAATTGAGTATAAATCTTAAATACAAGTCATTATTCGTTTGATGAAATATAATATAACCGTGTATTTTTACATTATGCATACCAAATGCTTGTACCACGACCTTCCTGTAAGTCCATCACTGTCTGTGAATGCACGCTCAGTCATCATCAGCCTGTCGTTCAAATCTCGTGCTTTCTGCTCGTCTATCCTCACTGATGACCAGCCTTTGCTTTCCATAAATGCCTATAAAAGTTGTATTTTACTGTTATTTATCACTAAAAAAAAAAACTACTCATTTGACTTAGGCTGTTTTTAGTAAAACTAGCCGATAAGCTGATAAGCTAGCTTATAGTTTATAAGTAATTTTCGAGTTTATAGCTTATAACTTATGATTTATAGCTGAAAAACTAGCTTGTATGAAAAAAGTTTGATAAAATTAGCTGATAAGATAGCTGAAATAAAAAATTCAACTAGCTTATTTGAAAAACTACCCAACGAAGATTATCTCATAAGTTCGAGAATTTTGAAAAAAGCTCATCCTACAAAACGAAGATTATTTAAATATAAAAAACTTATAAGCTAGCTTATTCGTCTACCAAATATAGCCTCAGGTTTCACTAAATTCAGTGTGATAAAAACTACCTTCCGCTCGATGTTTATGTTTGCGGCAGCTTTTTCAAGGTCGTTGATGGACTTGAACAGGGGATCGAGGGTCACGGTTCTATTCAACAATCGACTTTTCAACTCCTCTGCACATTTCTGTTTCGATTGATTTTTTTGGTGAGATTAATAATAAGTTGTGATTCACCGAAAGAGTGAAATTTGCAAAAATGCATATATTCCATGAATGTATATACCTGAAGCTCGAGTGCGTAAGAGGTGTAGTTGAATGGTAAAATCTCGTCGTCTGCCAGTCTGAGTGCTACTAAACCACTAAGACTTGCGACTGCTTGCACATTAATTATTAACATTTGATGTTTCAACATTTGCCGTTTGCTAATAATAATGTTGAGAATCATCAAGAATATCATATTAGAAGCCAGAGAACAAACCTGCTACATGCTTTTGAAACATTGGATCACCAAATTTGGTCATCCAGACAAAATCATCGTACAACGAGTGGTAAACTGGGTAATCTGCATTGATGAGTCGCGTAAAAAATTTGGAGCCCTAAA